CAAATCAGAACTGGTTAACTGCCATACAAATGAAAATAATTAAGAATTCAAAACAGATTAATCATGACATCTCTCACCTTGTGTGACCCCTCACTTATCAAGGAGTTCAAGCGTTCCGTGATCTTTTTGAGATCCAAAGGATCAATATATTTTTCGCTAGAAACAATAGTGTAAAGAGCTTTCAAACCCTCCTTCCTCTCGGATGTAGATGATACAGCACAGCAAGCCAAAGCATTATTTAACTCCGCAACTTCAAACCTTAAAATAAAAAACAGGTGGGCGAGTGTATTACTTTAGAAAAAGCAAAAATTCCATAAAATGATCAAAATCCCTTCAAAATGCAAATTTATTTAGAAGTTATCTGTAAGACTGACTTGAATGAATCTCCAGCAGCGGCTATGTCTTCTAAATCGTCAACGTGGTTTCGCTAAATATCTTGAAATGAAAAAAAAACTGTAAAATTCCCTCTTTTTACCAAATTTTTGACGGAAACAATAAAAGTTGAGGATCTGAGTGGCATACTGCCGCAAAACTAGTTTAACAAGAGATCGATTAACATTTGTAAATGTCGTTAAGCAAACACAAAAGCCCAACTCACGTTTCGTGTCATACAAGGTACAGATGGTCGATTCCGAGACAGAGCTCGCTGAGATGGTGACGTGCTACGACTACCAGCTAAAAAATTTCTACTGAAGACTCTGTACTTTTTGAAACACCAATACAGTAAAATACTGTTCCTTCTATGAAACAAAAACTAAAGGAAGTAAACTGACGTTGAGATCTAGCAACATTGTTCGGGGGAGTGCGAGGTAATGCAGGTTTCCTCAAAGTCGAGGAAGGCGTCGCAAAGCGGTGCGGTGTCCCACTACTACGACTACTCGCTAGAAAAGTATTTTGAGTTTTCAAACCAAAATTTCGTAAAAAAATTTGTTTTTGAACCAAAGCTTCTCAATTAAACGCATTTAGTAACACTTTTACTTTTAAAGCAAAAGAAAATACATACACATGGGACTGCCATTAATTTGAGGCATAGGTCGCCACTTTGCAGCACCACGAGTTAGCTGCGAATAAGCACGTCGGGCTGAACCCGTATCAATATCGGAAGTTGATCGACCCGTAAAATGAAATGCTGTACCTACAATATATCGACCCAAGGTATAAAAAATCTGTTACATTTCTAAAACCACACTTCCTACTGCACAGCGGTTCTCTCTTAAAAATGGAATAATCTTTTCTCCTTCAACGCATAGATAACAAAAGACAAAAAAAACCAACTATGCTCTATCAAGAAGTCCTAGAAAAAAATTCAGGAAAAATAATAATAAAACAGAACCACTAGCAAGATGCCTTAAAAAAGCCACGGAACCCATCCAAATTCATACTTTTATGAAGGGAATAGTTCGAACTCTTCTGCGTTAATGGTAAAGAATCCTTTTCTGACACAATTGACTGGGAAGAGGAGGACTGAGACACGAAACCGGATAAAGAGCGCTGTTTAGAAGGATCCAAAGACTGAAATGCTAGTTAATAACAATAAAACAAAGATTCCAATTCTTCTGCTGGATTCTAAAAGGTAATATGCGTGAAATCAAACTCCTTTAATGAAGTATAAGTACCAAAAGAACTTCCAATGTTTGAAATATGAATGCCAATTGAAAAATATAGAAGAACCACACTAACAACAGAAATGAAACAGCACCTTAAAAAGAATCTCTGCATGACGGTGGTACTCCTGATCCAAATGGCTGAACATGTTTCTTCCTATGCTGCGCGTTTCCGGGTCAGCGTCATTGACTCCAGCCTAGAAAGATTCAGATAAAAAAAA